TCAAATTCAAAAGTAAAATACATACTTCATTACATATTTATGTTAAAAATATAAAGAAAATCACAAAAATACAAGAAGAAATAATAAAGAAAATAAAAAAAAAATTCTCACTACTCGAATTTCCTTTTTTCCAAAATGTTGCGTTCAATTTACGAAATATCCAAAAATAAAAACATGCATTAAGAGTCATTTATTTCTTTTTTTCTTTAATTTTTTATGAATGCCTTTTTTTTTCTTTATATTTATTATGCTCGCTACCATTTCATAAAAATTGTACTAGTAAATTGCGGGTCTTACGATAACCTATTCAAACCGAAAATCTATAAAATGTGTTTTTATTATTTTTTGTATATTCATATATGTATAAGAGTAATGCATAGGTATGAGCATTGTAAATATTATCGTGTACAAAATATAAGAGAAATGAAGAAATGTGATCGGTATGAAGAGGAGAGGCGCAACGTCCAACAAACGCATACGCTTATATACATACACATATAAATTTATTTACATATTATTATATGTTATTTATACGACTACATAAGATTAGTAGGATAATAAATTTTAGGAATAAGAAAACAGAGTAGTGTGGTCAATTTATTTTATAATATTATGTGCGATATAAATGAATACATAGTATACAGTATAAAAACTGTATCAGAATGTAAGAAAATTTCAAAATTTAAACATAGGTTTAAATTTTTAATTTGTATATATAAGAAATTCGTATAAAATAAGAAAAATTTAAGGAAAATTTTATTTTGAGGAATATTTAAGCAAATCATTGAATTAGTAATTCATTAATTTATAAATTTTTAATAATCTTACATGAAAAATTATAATAGAAATAAATTTTAAAATTCATTACCAAAATTCCAAGAAAAAAAATTTATCAAGAGAATATTTTCGAGATAAAGATAGTGTTATATTATTGCACTACGTAAGAACGTTATAAGGTACAATTAATGTCACAATATATATATAAGTAGACCAATGAAATTGGAAGATTAAAACAAAATTAGAAAAAATTATGAAAATCAAATAAATTGAATCTAACAATCAAATTTTTGTCTTGTAAAACAATTCGTAGGAAAATAAACCAATAGCAAAAAAAAAAATGATAAACAAAATTTATGAAAAAATTGGAAGATCAATTATAAATACATAATTAAATGGGTCAAAGTGGTATAAAAAGTCTGGTGGGGTCAGATAAAATTTCAAGAAAATTGAAATTTTGCATTCTCTTTATATGTGCAAAAATGGCAAATTCGGCCCAGGAAAAGGTACAGTTCCCGAAGCCTGACATTGATTAATCCGTGCTATAGCTAAAATAAACTCACATATGAAATTTCATCGGTTCAGCCGAGAAGTCGCTTCTATGGGGAAGTGCGTTATCACCCGAAAATCGATATGCAAAGTTAGTTGCCATCGCATAACCTCTTTTTGTATGCGAAGCGGTAAATATAATTTTTTATATTATTGTAATATATTCTCTTATTGCATACTTTTGGGGAAATACAAAAAATTTAAAAAAACGTAAACACACTGAACAAAACAGGCTTTAACTGTTACGTTTTCGCTTTTATAGAAATTTGATAACCTTAATAGTTTCAGCAAATGCTGCCGAAAATTGCCGAATTTTTTTATATTTAAAGCACTTGTGAAAGAGTAAGAACATAGAACAAAATTTTTTGTTTTGCAAACAAGACATCGTTTCATCGATTTTTCATCGATGCTAAGGCTATTAAATTTTTCGATAAGTGTACAATGTTCCGTTAACAAATACCAAATATTTCAAAATGATTCACAAAATTCGATTAATTTCGGTGGTATCCTAAAACTTAGAAATTTTTCAAAATTTTATATGTTATATTCATATATCACATTTATTTTATATCACTATAATTTCATGGTCCTATTATATTGTATATACCATATTATATATTATACTATATATTTTAATTAGAATATCAAAATTCTCATTTATTTATTGCATAATATGGCAATCAAAAAATTTATACCAAAAATAACATGTCTAGCAAATTTTTAATAAAATTCTTATATACTTAACTTAATACTTTAATACTAGTATACGTACAATGTAAAAGTCAATTAATTAAAAGTAATGCTGCGATATGACAAGATAGTTGCTACATATGTACGTATCTAAATAGAAATAAAACAACCAGAATATGGTTATTTCTATGATAAAAATAAAATATTATTATAAAAACGGCTGTTAATATATGTATATATATATTATGTATGTAACTATGTACATATATATAAGTACATACTTGTATACGTAATTCTGTACAATATATAACAAACTACTTATTTAATTACTACGTCATAACATACATTGTACAATGTTCATATACTATAATTATTAAATTTTATTATTACTATTATTATTATTGTACATATATATATATATATATATTTTGTGTTATATACGCAAATTAAGTCTTCACATGCTTATATGTATATGTTATATATGAATATAATATATGTATATAACTACGTACATTTCCAAGTTTATATTATACATTAAGTATTTTACAAATTATAAATCAGTCATAATATATAGTATATATGATTGTGTACATATATATCAGTTGTATACTACCATATGTATGAATATACAAAATATACTATACAGAAATTGAATCATATATATATATATATATGTATGTGTGTACGTACAAATTGAAAATTTAAATAAACTCATATGTCATATCAATATAAGATATACATCAAAATCTGTTATATACTTAAAAATATAATATATGTATAATGCAATATTTTTGTATAACATTAGGCACTGTATACTATATACATTTACTCGTATGTATCACATTAACATTATACAATAAAATTTTTTAACATTAAACTGTTCATAGACCGACGACGATTTATTTAAAAAAGATAAAAACAAATTTCATGGAATATATTTCGTTTTTTGTTTTTTTTTCCTACAATAAAAAACAAAGAACAATATTTATAAATATGTGCAGTAATGTATTTTAAGTACTAACAAAGAAAAACACAAACATATGCAAATAACAAAACCATGTAGAAAAAAAAAATTAAAGCTGCTCCCATTGATTAAAGGAAACGCCATAATTGAATGACGAAAAGTGAAAAAAAACGAAAAAAATTATTTTTCATTTCGCTTTTATCCAAAAAAAAAAGAAAACTGTATCTACAGATATATGCGTATATAGTCAATAATAATGTATCATTTTTATATTTAACAATATGAGTTCAATACATAAAATTTCTCTCATTTTGTCATCTCTATATTCCATCGAATCAGCCAGCACAAATTATATCATGTATCTTTATCTATAACTTTATGTTTAGTATATATTATGTATATATATTATTTATATAGCTGATGTCACGAACAAAATTTTTTATTAAAATTCGAAATATACTTTGACTTACCTACAACTTACACTTATGCCCCATTCTCTAATAGCTTTTTCATACTCATCGTCATCTACTCGATAATATATCATTAAAAACTCTCCATAGCTAACAGAGGTACCTAAATTATTTTTATATACATACAATACAAAAATGGAATATGGAATTTTTGTATAGTTTAGTTGCTTAAATAATAAATACTCAAGGTATCAAAATTGATCACGTTATAATTATTTTTTTGGTACATGAAATATTTTATAGATTTTTAATTTTTCATTAATGTCTTCGTCAAAACTGTATTATTAAAATTAAATACTGAAAAAAAGAACACAAAAATCTGTAAGAATGGAAACTGCATTTAATTACAAAATTTTTAAAACTTAATAGCGAATAATTTGGAAATCTTATAAATGTTTAAAACTAATTTTTTTTTTTTTACGAACGAATATTTTAATCGTTTTTCATAATATTCAAAATATTAATAATGTCATTTTTTTTTTTATTCATACCTTCGGCGTTTTATCAGTATCACTTTGCTACATTGTTGCTAAAGTTATAATTCATAACCCTTTTAAACAAATAAATTTTCTCTTTTAATCATTCAAATTACAAACAAAGGTGTATCTATATTTCTAAATTCTATATTTATAAGCTCTTTTATTTAAAATTTTTTTTTTCTCTCATTTTTTCTCTTCAAACATAAGATAGTTATCTAGTTTGGTTTTTAAACGCTGCCAGCATAAAACTGAATATGCTAAATCTAGCAAATATACTAAGCTCTAAATAAATAATATAAATTTGAGTAAAAGAAAATTGAGGGAATTTGAAATTTTTGTTTTAAAAACATTAAAGAAATAAAAAGTTTTGGTAATAAAAGGTTTTCATATTTACCTCTACAAATCGAATTTTAATAAATTTGATAAAATTTAAATCCAGTAATGGGTGAGAATCGATTAATTTTAAAGTAATAATACATTTTTTCATTACGTTTTAATATAATAATCTTGTATTCCGTAATGCATTAATATATGGTTTTTATATTTATTTCAGTAATTTATATTCAAAATAAATTTACCATTTTATGCCCAAGCAGATTTAGAAAATGCTACCATCGCAATATGAAACTCAATAATTATCGTAAACATTTTGTTAAAAATAAGATTAACATCGATTCCTTTGGTTTTTAGCACAATCAATCAAATTTGGTAACACTGCAACCAACTACTACTATTGCATGTACATTGAATATTTTACATTCAAAATGTTTATATATTTTGGTTATGCGGGTTTTATATTATATTATATAGGAAATAGAGAGCGAGAATATTGAAAAATTAAGACTTTGGAGAATTTCAATTTTATTTTCTCAGGGCGTATGAGATTTTTGGATTTTTAAAAGTCAATTCAGTCTGCTCAGATATGTGCTATTAAGTAGACATTTTTATTTCGTTACAAAAAAAGAATAATTAATTTTTAATATTTAAGAAAAAAAAAGAAAGAAAAAGTTTAATTTTTTTATTTTTATTTAAAAAAAAAAAACAGAAAAAGAAGAAAATATTTTCCATATTGAATAAAGAAACAAACAAATAAAGAAAATTTAGAAAAAAATAAAACTAAAAAAAGGAACACCCTAAAAAAATTACTTTGTCGTGTGTTGTTTTTTTTTCTATACAGGAAAAAAAAAATTTAAGAATTGTGTATGTTTTATAATTTCAATTTTATAATACCAACCATTATATATTATTATATATTTATGCATAAGTATATGTGTATTCATTAATGTAAATTTATATAAAAAATATACATACATACATACTTATATTATATTTATAAAAATTTAATATACATATTTTAAATTAAGTATTAACAAAAGAAAAAAAAAATAAAAAATAAGTGAAAATATTTAATTTTAAAAAGAAATATAAAATTTTTTTTTTTTAATACATGCATAAATAATAAATTATTTAAAATTAAAAAATGAAAAATGAGAATTTCATGAGAAAATTGATCTTGAAAATTAAAAGTTTTCGAGGCTGTTTTTATATTATAATTTTGTTGTGATTTTTTTTTCTAGTTTTTTATTATTATTTTTATTATTATTGTTATTGTTGTTGTTTGTTTGTTTGTATTTTTAACTTTAATGTCAATAGACAAAATAGTCATTATAAATTATATATTTCATATATATATATGAAATAAAAGAAAATATACACGAGTATACAAGCATATATACAATATTTATATTTGTACATATATAAATTAAATTATATATTATTATCATCATACCCATACATATAAATAGTTACATACATATATACAGTGCTTATTCGAAAATTTAATCAGTAAATATATATATAGAGCTTTATTTATACAAAATAATAATAATATAATGATAAATGAAATTAAATAAAAAAAGCAAAGAATAAAAAATAAAAATTACTTGATTGCTAAATTACTTAAATTGAAATTTCATCTTTGTTTCAATATCAAGTGATACGGAAATGTCAATGAATTTCGTTTTAGTAAAATAAAATGAGTAAAAAAAAAACTAATTTTTAAATTTATACAAAAGCAGAAATGAATAATTTTTGTGGTTTTTTATAAAAAAATAAAATTATAGTCCGAAATTGTACAAAAAATTTTTATTTAAAAAATTTAAAATTTTTGTTTAAAGTTTTCTAAAAATTTAAAAAAAATTTAAGCAATTGAATAAAATTTAATGAAATTCAATAAAAATTTATTTTGTCTCTTTCACATTAGTGTAAAATTTTCAAATTAAAATACAAAGTAATTTTAATATAAAGTTAGTACATTTGTATGTATGTGAAGAATATTGGAGATATCTTACAGAACACGGAATAATTTTATTCATTTTATGTTTATTCTTTCCAATATTTAAAATGATTTTTTAATTAAATATTAAATATTAAATGTACACGTATGTATAACAATTTTAATAAAATTAAAATAATAAGAATATTTTTATAAAAGTATCCACCTATTAACCAAATGAATTATTAAATATAAGATTAATTTATCGAATATTTACTGTAAATGTATATAATATGTATATAAAAACGCATATATGTGTGAGAAAATCTATATATATACATAAATAATGTATGTAATGTATAATACATTATTTATGATTTTTAAGAGAACGTGTGTGTATAATCATTTTAAATTAAAATAATTTTGGATAAGAATATGTCTATTTATATATGTATTTATAATGTGTGTTTCATAAGAAAAATACAGAAATAATAAATAAATATATTTAATTTTTTCGAAAATTTCATTTTTTTAAAATAATATTTTATAATTATAAAAATAATATTAATAATACAAATATATTCTATAATAATATATTTAAACGTTTCATGATGAAAAAAAAAATATTTTGTATATACTTATTTTGAAATATAAATTAATTTTTTTTCTTCTTGTCTTTCTTCTTCTCGTAACAGTAAGAGCACTCTCCAAAAAAAGAGTACTCTCCAAATCTAAAAGACTTTCTTCTCTTTAATTTCATATTACTCAATACTCACTTATTTCTCTTTAAACATATTATACTCGTATACCTTCTCTTTAAATGAGAAAATTATTTATTTTTTAATATTTAAATTTTTGATTTTTTAGGTGTGTACAAAAGTACAGTACAATATTATGTATTTATTAAGTTTCTTTTAAAGAAATATAACATTGAGCATAACATACATTAATATAACATAACATCATTATAACAGAAGAGAATTTTTGGAGAAAATTATATAAAATTTTCTCAAATACAATTCTATATAATAATGTAAAACCCTCTTAATATTACATTATGTATGTGAAAAAAAATATTTTAAATTTTTTTATTAAAAATACTCATAAAAACATTAAATATAAATAAATGTATGTATTGCGTGTATGAAATTTAAATATAATTCCATTGTATTTCTTGTAATAATTTTTCGATTTAAATATTGCGAATTAAATTTTTTTTTATTTTAAAATTTATTCAAATTGAGTTTTTTTTTTATTTTTACACCATAAACATTTTCTTAAATTAAATAATAAGTAAGTAATTGAGTTGATAAAAGAATATCAAAGCTGATTGATTATTTACCAGTGTTGTCTTCTAATATTTGAAGGAGGTTGCTTTAAAAGAACAAAATGACAGGGAGCAAGATCACTGCCGGTAAAGAGCAATAAATTAAAATATAATTTGCTCAATACCAGCCATTATTTAATCTATGACAAGAAGAGTTAAAATTTTTACTTTTTATTAAAAAATTATTTTAAAAACTTATCTTAGAATTCGACAAATAAAATCAAAAATTTTCGAGCCCAAATGTAATTTGATTGATTGTAATTTTAAATTTTTTTTTTTGGTGAATATTTTTCAATTTGCAATTATTTTTACTATTTATCCTAGTAAAGTATATCAATAAAATATAAAATATAAATGTTTAGAACATTCGGTCAGAAAGGACGAAGTTTGTCAAGATATTTGTAGTAAAAGAATTTAGTATAGAATTTTTTTTTATTAACGCCGCACTTGAATTTCATATAACGTACATATTGTAACAAAACCATTTACAATTCAATTATAAGTGATACTTATATATTTTCCTATATATGTTACTGTAGGTTTTGACTTATTATCCCTTATTTTGCTCATATGTCCAATATACTTCTCTTTCACAGTGCTACTATGTATGAGAATCTGTGGATTATTAAAAAAAAACGAAATTAAAAAGAAATTTGCGCTATATTTCAAAGAAACAGTGAAATCTTATTTAATGGATTGTCTGAATAAAAAATTAAGGGATTCTTTGCTCTAATTAAAAGAAAAGAAAAATAAGTAAAAAAAAATGAAAAACATAATTATTTTCAATTGAAATGTTTGACTTTGTGTTAAATGGATGAATTTCATTTTTATATCAGAAATTTCATAAGATATGAAAGAAAAAAAAAGTGAAATTAATTAAAATGTGAACGTATTAATTTCATTTTTTCTTTTTTTCTTCGTATTATATTTTGTCTGATACTACAATAATTTTATTCTATTTACTTATACACAAATTCAGTGTTTAAGTCAAGGTTATAAAAGAGAAACTGATTGAAATTAATACGTACATATCTCAGACTAAAATGAAAGAAAATAATTCATATGTACTTATTTGTATTACTCTGTAAAAAACGAAGTCTTGTTAAAATGGCAAAAATATCAAAAAATTGAATAGTTACTTAGCTGCTTAAAATGATTTCAAATGTTAAACTTTATTCTTCTTGTAAATTATTACTCTTCGACAAGAGTACACCTTTGTATAAGAAAAGCAGAGAAAATTAAATTTAGTTCCTGGTTTTATTAGCCTGATTTTTAAGCCTGAGTTTCAAATATTATAGAAATTAAAGAATTTAGTTATAAATCGTCTTATTTTATTATAGCCAAATTGTTTTTAATAAAATGCAATATAAAATATTATAAAAATATACTACTTATAAATGAAATAAAAATTTATGTACGGATATATGAACATATTTAGTACATAGATATTAGTAATTCACAAATGAGACTATATGAAAAATTATTATATCAAATGTAATTGAAATTATTCAGATAATTTTGTATTTTCTAAACAAAATATTACCTTAGTTTATATTTAAGTACCTATGTATATACGTATATTTTTATATTTTAAGCAATTTAAAAAAATTCTAAGAAGAAGAATTCCTTTTTTTGTACAACAGCGTCATTTTAAATCCAATTAGATTTGTTTTTCTTTTTTGAAGAAGAAGAAGAAGAATTTCAAACCAATTTACTTATCATTTATATTTCATATTATAAAATATGAACATTTTATATAAATACATATATACATATAACACGTTATACTATGTTCACATGCGTTGTGTTCTCACTCATTTGTGTTCTTTCATATAGAAAATATACAAATTTTAAAATAAGTATATAAGTTGCTCATATGACATATTACAAGATTGCTAGCTATAATTATTATATCCCATGTGAAATTAGTACTTAATTTAATTTCATTCATTCATAGCTTTATCAGATTGTGCGTTAAAGTAAGCAAAATTTTAGAAGAAAATTCAACTCTTAGCTTAATTACCCAGATATTTGTCTTGATATAACATAATTATCATATTATGTCAATTGTTTCAAATTTATATTATAGAAAAATTAAGCCCTTAGATTGGGATTTATTAAACGATATAGTCTAAAGAGTTAATAGGGTCTCTTATTCGCTTTTGTTTTAAATATGGACTATATTAGTGGATTTCATTTATATTATAGGAATTATTTATATAGCAAAAACAGAACTAACTACTTAAGTATAACAAATATAAATTGTAAATTTATATTTGTTATAAATATAACAATAAATATTGAAATATTTAATTTAAAAATTTTAATTAATTTTATTAATGTACTCATTTTTATTTTAAAATTTTTGTTTTTAATTATCTAATTGAAAGAGAAGTCTGAATTTTTATACCATTTACAAAGCGAATTTTTGAATTTATAAAGTGTAATACTCAAGTGTTTTCTGAATATAATTCAAAAATATTATTTTTTAATTACGTACGTTGACACGTAGACAAATTCATCATTCAGGTTAATAATATTAATTCTGTTATAAATTTTTATATAATTATATAAATATATGTACATACATATATAATA